CTGCTGCTGCTGCTGCTGCTGCTGCTAGCGTTGCTGCTGCTGCTGCTCGCGTCGCTGCTGCTGCTGCTGCTGCTCATGTTGCCGCTACCGCTCCTGCTGCTCGCGCTGCTGCTGGCAATGAGAACGTATGTCAGGGGCTCCTTTTTGTTGCCGGTGGTATCCTCGCTGCTGGTGCTGCTGCTGCTGCTGCTGCTTTCCAATTTCTCTGCTGCTGTTGCTGCGTCCTTGCTGTTTTGCTGTGCAATTTCGCTGCTGCTGCTGCTGCTGCTGCTTCCTACTGCAGCAACAGCTGGAGGCCTGCGCGCCCTTGGGGGATGGCGAAGGTGGTGCTTCTGAGCTATCCACAGCAGCAGCAGCAGCAGCAGCAGCAGCAGCGCAGCAGCAGCTGCTGCTGCGATCTCGGCTCTGCAGCAGCCCCCTTACTGCTTCTCCCTTGATGCCTTTCTCGCCGCCGTTGCAACAGCAGCAGCGCTCGGGAGCTCTTGCTGCTGCTGCTGCTGCTGCTGCTTGCCCCATTATCTCAGCAACAGCAGCACCCAGTGCTTTGGTGGCGCTGCTGCACCTAGCTCTTACGACGCTGCCGCCACAGCAGCAGCAGCAGCGGCAGCACCAGCAACACAAAGCAGCAATGATGGCTGAGACTGAAGACTCGCAGCAGCAACAGCAGCAGCAGCAGCAGAAGGGGGAGGACGATAGCTATGACTTGCAGTTGCGCGTGCACCCGACGCAGCAGCAGCAACAGCAGCAGCAGCAGCAGCAGCACAGGTCGCTATCTGCAGCAGAAGCAGCAGAACTGCAGAAGCATGCAAACTTGCTTCTAGATGTGCAGCAGTCGCTGCTGCTGCTTAAGAAATTGGACGAAGCACAGCAGCAGCACCTGCAGCAGCAGCAGCAGCAGCAGCAGCACAAGGGAGAGGACGAGGAATTGCGCGTGCAGGCGGTAGGCAGGGAGGGTTTAGGTCTAGGGTTTAGGGTGTAGGGTTTGGCAACAGCCTTTCCTTGGGTTTAGGGTTTAGGGTTTAGGGTTTTAGGGTCTAGGGTTTAGGGTTTGTTTCATAGGTAATGGAGTTTTATGGAGTGTTGAGGGAGAAGTGGAAAGAGGCAGCAGCAGCAGCAGCAGCAGCAGCAGCTATTGGTCCGCAGCTACTGCAAGAAGCAGATAAAACATTCAGTCTTTTTCGTGCTGCACCGCAGCAGCAGCAGCAGCAGCAACAACAGCAGCAGCAACAGCAGCTAGATGAAACGCAGCGGCAGCAGCAGCAGCAGCAACAGCAACAGCGTAATCCCACTTTTGAGGAGGGCCGCAAG